AAGATACTCTAGACATGTTGGACTGCAACTCCCATTGCCCCTCTCCATTGACTATGCTGGTTAGAGCTGATGAAATTTGAAGTCCAATCATATCTGGAGGACCACATGTCCCCCCATCTTTGCTTCAATACACGAGTAAAAGGTCCAAATGAAGAAGTATGCTGTATACTTAGTGTATGGTTCTCTTGCTCCTTCCACAGCAGTTCCTGGTGGATGTGTGGAACCCATCATTCGTTTTTCCAGAATTGGCAATGTCCCATGGCAAAAACCCAAGTTAACTGCATTACTTAATTTACTGGCCAGGGGTTATATATGTAGCAGTAAAACTGAAGCCAGAACTTTGGCCCTTGGTTGTTTGGCCACCTGCATTTTCTTGCCTTTACGAATGAGCAGGAACAGTGTTTTATTGTCATTAACCCCCCCCCCCCCCCCCCCCGCACAGGAGGAAAGCCTGATTAAGAGGAGTGACATGATGATGCTTTCACCTTTCTCATTTCAAGGTCCTCTGCCTCAGGTTGTTGCTTTTTTTCAGAGAGAGCAACAGAACCGCACATGCAAAAGCCTTTCTCAGTTGTCTCTTTCTGTGTGTTTGCCTCATGTGCAGAGCAGTGCCAGGCTCTCCTTTATTACATCAGCAATGGTGAGGATGGCACTTTGCAAGCTCTCATGAAACCAATTCCCTCCTAAAAGTTTATAGGGCCATTTCAGCTGAAGGGGGGGGGGGGATGACTGCAGATCAAACAAGGCAAGAGACAAAAAGAGGAAACAGATTGGGTGCAATTGCAAGTTTAATTTGCATGGTAAGGGTGAGCGGGAAGAACAAGGACAGAGCAATATTGGTAGAGCCAGAAAAGAGCTGCTTTGTGCATTTGGCAAAAGTAAAATAGCAATGCTTTTCCCTAGAGAGTCTACAGAAAGACCTTTCCTGAATGCAATCTGGGGCATAGACTGGACCTCCTTAGGCTGCCAGTGAGCAGTTGCATGTTTGAATGCTTCTGATCTAAACAAACAACTCCTTGCATACATAAAACAATGCTTTATCAATTGTACATCACCCGGGGGTGGGGGTCAATAAATGAAGGTAGCCCTCCTAATGTATTTACAGCTAACACCATGGCCTCAGCCTAGGTTTCTCCTTGACATGCTCTTTTTCAACATGCATTTTATCTGTGAGGTTGTATTCAAGCATGCACTACTATCATCCCTATACTACTTGCATCCAAGGTGTTCTAAACAGAGTTAAAGTAAAGTGTGTGTGTGTGGGTCTAGATCTGTTCTCACTGTAATGTGTACCGGATAACCTTTGAAAGGAGAGAGCCTCTGCCCTTGGAGACTGATGAAAATAATGGCATTTGGGGGACAGAGCAAGCACAACTCTGTGGACTCTTTCAAACTACACAATTATGGAGTTATGATTTGTCTGCCATGGTTATATATCCTATGGACTCTGGGGGGTTGTAGTTTGGTCAGAGACACCAGAGGAGCTCCCTGACTGGGAATTCCCAAGCTGCCAATCCCATTGTTCCATAGGATGCAACCATGGCAGTTAAAGTGCAATCATATTACTATAACCATGTAGTGCGACAGGGTCCTTGTCCCATCATGTGTCCGATATAATGCAGCTGCGTTAAAGGCTGTGTATGACCTCCCCTGGCCATTTTTGTGGCCCTCAAATTCCCAGTACCCTATCCCAAAATGAAAGGGTCTGATATTTTTTAAATTCAAAAATGGCCCATCTTGCCTCCCAAGTCAAAGGTGTTATGACTCATTTCACCACTTTTGCTGGTGGGAATTCATATTTTAAAACCCAGAGAGGCCTTTCTCCCCTAAACAAGAGGTGATTGGACAAGAGAGGAGCTAACCCAAAATGTGGCAAAATGAACCACAGCAATTCCCCTCCGCGTGGCATCGGGGTCACTATGGGCCATTTCTGTACTCTCTAATGTCAGTAAAATATCAGTAAAGTGAATTCAGATTTTAAGGTTTGTATAGCCAGCTTGGTATGTGGTTTGAGTGTCATAACTCTGCAGACCAGGATTTGACTCTCTGCTTGGCCATGTAAATCTGCTAGATGACTTTGGGCAAGTCACACTCTCTCAGCCTCAGAGGATGGCAATGGCAAAAACCCTCTGAAGAAACTTGCCAAGAAAACCCCATAATAGGTTTGCCTTAGGATTGCCATAAACCAGAAACTTTACTTCCGAAAATACATAAATACCCAAATTCCTAAATTCCTAAAAAAACCAACATTACTTCCTATAATACCAATGAACAGGAAGTGTCCTCCATCTACATCATATCTATTTATCTCTCTGCCCATCTATCAATCCATAATGGTGCCTGGTGGCTTCCATGTCAGTGTGGTGATAAATCTGCTCTGGGTTTCAATCCAAACTTCAAAGGCGTTATCCAAGGTGCTGAACCATTTCCACAAAATAGGTTAAGCACCTTGGAATGCTCCTTTAAAGTTGGATTCAAACCCAGATTGGATTTGTAACCCTGCTGCCATGAACACTATCAGTTGCCACTGTCTGCCTGTGACTGCATCTATCTTTCTTGCATTACAGGAAGCACAACAATATTTATTTCTTTATATGGCATTTTGCTATTGCTTTGCTTTCTAAGAGCATGTAGCTGCAAAGCTGGATTAACATGACTTAACATTATTTTTTAAAAGAAATCATAAGGCAATAATGCAGTGGTACTCAAACTTTTTACTTTTTACGCCTCCCCTCCCCCTTTACATTTACAAGTGGATGTTATACTCCCGATGTAGTATATGAATAAAAATATTTTGCTTATTTAGTGTGTGCATTTTCATTTGCACATTCATGTATATTCATATTTTAACATTTTATAAGGAAATGACATAATTCAAATTACAACAGTTTTATTTAAATAAATTCAATATTTAACTCAATGCATGTGCAAATTTTACACATAAAAAAAGTTTGGGAAGAGGAGAAAGAGGAGGAGAAGGAATGCTCAGCGCTTCCAAGCCTTGTGCCCCCCACTTGAGCAACTCTCACACTCCCCCTGGGGATCCCACCCCAATGTTTGGGAACCACTGCAAAAATTGATGTGTGCTGAGTTGTGTGATTAATACAGCTTTTCCAATAAGTAACTTATTTGCTGGTGGCCTTGGGCAGCAAATTGACTTGGGTCAGCTCTAATGGCTAGTGCCCACAAATATCTCAATGCTGTGGAGAGCCTGGCTCTTAAAAGAATAAGTTCTTACCATATTCTTCCCACTGGTCCAGCAAAGTTTCCCTTTTAGCTGTTTAGAAATTCCTTTGCTAAGCTGGGGAAATCTATCCCTTGGTAGACCCTGTATTTCCTCCAAGAGCAGCCTGCCAGCCTTTCCTCTGTGTGGCTGCCATTGTAGGCAGCCATGATCAGTGCCATCATAAGACTGATGGATAGGTAGTTCTGCCAGACTCTCTGGGGATGGAGGGGGATAACTTCCTGAGTTTAATAAAACATAGTGTTTTCAAGGGGGGAAATGACAAAGTCATTTGCTATGTCTAATGCATCAGTGAATGAGCACCTGGCCTGGCAGCAGGGCTGAAATGGAACTTGGATGAAATGGATACAGGCATGCAGCCTTCTGTGCCTGGATGAAAGAAAGAGCTGGATAAGGACCGGGTTTGCTCTCTCTCTCTCTCTCTCTCTCTCTCTGTGCATGCACATGTATGCATGAATGCATGTGTGTGTGTGTATATTAGCACAAAATCCAGAGTAGGTGGAGGCTGTAGACCAGGGGTAGGCAACCTTTCCCCTTTAAGGGCCGAGGGACTTCAGCTCCCAGAATCCCAGGAGTTATTGGCTAACATGGGACTATTGGCCAACATGGCTGAGGCTTCAGGGAGCTGAAGTCCCTCGGCCCTTAAAGGGGAAAGGTTGCCTACCCCTGCTGTAGACTTTATTTATCTAAATGAGGCATTTAGGCACTACAACAACACTGTCCTTCAAAGGGACCCAGAAAGAAGGGTGCTGTCCCCATCATGTCCTGCTTGTAGGTTTTCCATTCAGGTGTCTTTGGATGGCCACTTTTGGGTCAGAGACGGCCTTGTTCTGACCTAGCTAGGGTTTTTCTTATGTTCATAGATGGTCGGCCATTTATGAACATAAGAATGACTCAGTTAGCTGGGTATGTTTAGGGTGAAGAAGAGAAAACTGAGAGGTGACATGATAGCCATTTTTAAATATCTAAAAGGTGAGCTTGTTTTCTCCTGTTCCAGAGACTAGAACATAAATCAATGGATTCAAATTATAAAGACAGAGATCCCACCTAAATGTTAGGAACAGCTTCTTTATTGTAAAAACTATTCAGCCATGGAATAGGTTGCTTTGGCAGGTGGTTGACTCTCTTCCTTTGGTGGTCTTTCAACAGAGATTGAATGGACACCTTTCAGGAGTGCTGTGGTTGTGTATTCGGCATGACAGAGAGGTTCGACAAGATAGTCCTTGCGGCCCCCACCAACTCTAAGATTCTGTCATTCTGTGATTAACCACCAAGTCTAGATCCCCCAAGAACTTCAAGAAATGTGCTATTCTGATGCCATGATACAATTGCAGCCTGTCAACTTGTCCCTCGCAGTACTCTTATTGATTTGTTGTCACCATGTGAGTCTTCATAATGTAAAAAAAGGAAAGAGGCAGTAGGAAAAAGGAATGTAACAACACCTTTAAGACACTCTGGTTTATTTCAGCATGAGCTTTTATGGATTTTGAAATCTATGAAACCTCTTGCTGAAGTAAATTGCTTTAGTCAACATGTAGATTAGTAAATCAATTTAATTTTAGTTAGGATTAACAAAAGGGTTTGAACCACTGCAAAGTGGTTACACTTGTGGAACTCTCTCTATGCACACTTGAAATCAGTATGTCTGTGCTTTGTTGTTGTGTGCCTTCTAATCACTACTGTAGAGTAAACCTGTCGCAGGATTTTCTGAGGCTGAGAGTGTGTTACTTATTAAAGGTCACCCAGTGGATTTCCATGCCCAAGTGGAGAACTGAACCCTAGTCTCCAGAGTCATAGTCCAAGGCTCAAACCTCTGTACCACTCTGGCTCTCAGGTCTGTTGTACAACAGCCAAACAGCCAATATATATCCATATGTGTGAGAGAACTTTCACATGACATCAACAGGATTTTGGCTTTTGGCTTATATTTGCTGGTGTTTCTTTTAAACTTTTAACAAGTTGCATCTTGTATAACATTTGCAATAAATTTGTCTGTTCAAGTTCTACTATTAAAGCATTTCAAACCTACCTATTTTCATTGTGTTAGTGATAGTTTTAATTAATTTATTATTTATCTGCCTTGTTGGTTCTTGATCCTGATTGTTCTAAAGGGCTTTATAGAGGTGGATAAGATTTCTTCTGCCCTCTTGTATTTACTCTGAATTCACATCTCACCTTTCTTCCAAAATGCTGGCTGACAATAAAATGAGATAAAAGAATACAATCAAATACAAAACAAGCCCAACTATTAAAATGGAATTAAATTAAAAGCTCAGTTTGAAACACATATTTAAAAATACATTGCTAAGAATCAGATGATAACCAGCCCCATCTTCAACATCCAGTTAATTGTCCAAAACCTGCATGAATAAAGGGGTATCCTTCCCTTATTAACAACAGAGTTGTTCCTCTACAGACTCTTAGAATAAACGTGTATGATTGGATAGGGTAAAATCATTAGGGAAATGTATCAAAGATAAAATATGATGGGTGATAGATCCCAATATGGTGAGTGATATATCCCAATGCAAGGTGGGTTGCAGAATATTAAAATCAGAAAATATTAAAAACTTACAATTTTTTAAGTAAAAATAGAAGTTATTTAATAATAATAATAATAATAATAATAATAATTTTTATTTATATACCGCCCTATGGCGAACCAATCCGGGCGGTGAACATAATAAAATACAATATACAATGAATACAATCTAAAACACACCATTCCCCCCTCCCCCTCTAATTTATAGAGTCAATACCATTTCAAATTCATTAAAAGACAACATATAAAACCAACAAAACAGCACACCATTAAAAGCCTATCATAGTTAATTCCTAAAAGCCTGATAGAAGAGGAACATTTTTCCTTGCCACTTGGAGAAAAGCAAGAAGAGGACCCTCCTATCCTCTCCATGGAGGAGGTTCCATAGTCTGGGAGCAGCCACCGAGAAGGCTCTTTCCTTTGTTCCCACCAAAGGAATTTGAGAAGATTGTGGGACAGAGAGAAGGGCCTTTCCTGAAGACCTCAGAGCTCTCACAGGATCATGTAAAGAGATGTGCTTTCAGACATCTGGACCTAAGTTGTACAAGGTTTCAAAAGTCTCCACCTGTGCTTTGAATTGTGCCCAGGAACAGACTGACAGCCAGTGGAGCTGTTGCAAAGAAGTTGTTGTGTGCTCCCTGTAGCAGCCCCAGTTAACAATCTGGGTGCAGCTCTTTGGGCCGACTGAAGTGTAAACTATCATAAAATATCCTGAATGTAAATAAGCAAAGTGAGCCCTTTTCAAAGGTAGCCTCATGTGGAGTAATCCATACGGGATGTAACTAATGTATTTGTCACCATGGACAGATCAGAGACTGTCACAGTCTGAAGCGTGTGACTTCCTTGGACAGGATCCTGTTTCTGCATGACTTTCTTGTTTCTGCGTGACTTTCTTGTGCTTCCAGGTCTTAACCTGTGGTTCTGATTGCATTGCTTCTGGGTTAGGGTAGAGTGGAAGTCAGTTATCTTTTCCTTTTCACTGAGATGCAGCAGAATACATTGGTAAGAACTAAATAAAAATCAATTAAGTTAGAAATGAAGTTAGAAATTTTCTGGCAAAAAGGGATAACTTAATTAAATTTATTTTTAAATTAATTGACTTAAGATGGATTTTCAGCGGTAATTGCAGAATTAAGTTATTAATAAATTACATGAGAGACCAGTAAATGTAATGCTTCCCACATGGTTCTTTAATAAATGCAAATATCTACAAACATCTTTATTTCCTTTCAGGAATGAAATGTGATAGTTTAGCTAATCCCAAGACTAAATGTTTTTAAAGCAACAAGTAGTAAGGGCAGCTTGAAAACAAGGGTGGTCATCTTTGTATCCCATTCTCCTGTGTTCTATACCCAACACCTATTTGTCCTCCCTCTGCCAAAAATGCACAGCCATTGCAAATCAATGCAAAACGGATGGATGTCCACAGTTTCGATACTGTACATCCTTGTAGATACTCCAGTAAAAACTGCAAATCCTTTTCCAGCTGAGTTTATAGAGTTTTTTACCCCCACCCCCACAAAAAGCCCGAATTCCTTTGAATTGCATATGGCAAGATTGCAGTCTAATTGATGCAAATGAGGAGTATTTTAATTGTGTAGACAAGCCCTCAGTAAACTAAATTTTGATTCTTTTCACCCTGGAAACTTTGCTGGGTTGCAGTTGAGGATCAGTAAAGTTATTAGTCAGGAGGACAAGGAGATTATAAGGAACAGCAGGGAAAGAGAAAGCAAGAGTGGGGTGGCAGGGAAATGGTATTTCAAAAATTTATGTAGCTTTTACTTTCCCTCCAAATCTCAAAATATGGATTGGGTGGTGCTGGGATAAATCATGGATGGCATTTTTCAGCTTCGTTCTGGTAAAGCTTTTAGTGCAGTCATCTAATTTAAACTTGGATAGAAATTTAGAATCAACTTAATAGTTAATTTTTGGGCTTCTAACTTAAATGTATTTGCATTAGATTTGAAAGCTTCTAAACTATTTACTAAGTGCATTGACTCTTTGCTAGAAACTTTCTTATCTCTAACAGGTCTTTCCAAACTCTAAGGGGAACAGCCAGTAGAAATGAGTGTCCAGGAGATGGCCACTCATCACTACTTTTTGAACTGGTAGATCAGTTTTAAGTCTCTTAGGGAAAAGCATTCATGTATAGTGATTAGTAGACTCCTCTATAAATAATGGGATGCCAATTTTGAATCTCATAGCTACTAAGCAGTTACCATGTAGCCTTAAGGAAACCAATCTCTCTTTGATTCATTTCCCCCCTCCATCTTCAATATGGGAAAATTATATTGATCTACCTGATAGGGTTGCTGTAAACATCCCACCAGGAGGGAGGGTACATATTATCCTCCAGATGATGTTGGACTACAACTCCCATCCTCCCTAGGCAACAGAGCCAATAGTGAGGGACCATGGGAATATCACACGTCTCACACTCCTCAAGTATACAAAGATAATATACCCAAGCATTTCCAGTGTCTGGAAGTGTTCTATAGATGTTAAATACTGTTTATTTACTGATGCTGCCACAGAACTGGCTCTTGGTTGCTTCTTTGCTATTTTTCAAGAGAAAACCATGCTTATTGTGGGTTAGGACCACAGAATGCATAACAAATAAGCCCTACACAGCCCCTCAAACTAGAGCTCTTGTTGTGATTTCAGTGCTGTAATCAGGTGCTGTAGGCTATATTTCAGAGGAAGGAGCTGGTAAAACCACATCTGAGTATTCCTTGCCTAAGAAAACCCTCTAAAATTCATGGGATCTGCATAATTCAACAGGTAATTTGACGGCACATATACATACAATCAGTGTAGAGCTTGGAAACATTACTTTTTTTTTACTCTAACTCCCACAATCCTCTAGCCAACATGGCCAGAATTCTTAGTACTCTGTGCTAGGGGATGCAGTAGCTCAAGCAGTTAAGATGCTGACTCTGCTGATTGCAAGATCGGCAGGTTGGCAGTTCGAGGCCCAGGTGCTGCATGATGGGGTGAGCTCCTGTCACTAGTCCCAGCTTCTGCCAGCCTAGTAGTTCAAAAGTATGCAAATACAAGTAGATAAATAGGTACCACTTTGGTGGGAAGGTAAAGAGAGTTCTGTGCAATCACGCTGGCCACATGATCACAGAGTAGTCTCTGACTATGCTGGCTCTTTGGCTTAGGAACAGAGATGAGCACCGGTCCATATGGTCGGACATGACTTGACAACCTTGTCAATAGGAAATACCTTTACCTTTACTTTACCTTGAAGCAGAGAGGTTTGCTTTTCTATATCTAGTTACAAGTTTCCTGTATCATAATAATCTTTTCCTGTAACCTTAGAACTATGCTCATAGATCCTGGGGACTCAAATCACTCCTTATGGCTGGCTTCAAGGAAATATTTCTTGTTACTGTGCACTATCGATGCAGATTGTTATGGAGGATTTGCATTTCCTCTCTCCTGCTTTTATGTCTGGCATGAGTAGGGTGCCAGGAGGTGAATTTTCTTTATCTTTAAGATGATAGAAAAAATAATTATGTGCAGTCAAATTCACTTTGACTTATGGTGACCCTATGAATGAGAGACCTACATGTCTTCCTGTTATCAGCAGACCTACTCAGGTCTTGCAAATGCCAGGCTGTGGCTTCCTTGATTTAAACAACAACAATAATGTTGTTACTGTTGTTGTATTTATTTATATCCTGCTTTCTCCCCAAAATTGGGACTCAACAAGGCTCACAATTTAAAAGAACAATACAATTAAGAACATACAGAAATTTAACATTAAAACAGAATTAATTTTTTTACAGTATTATAACTATTCAGCCTCACATTAAAAGAATAAAATACAGTTAAAGACAAAAAGTTCTTAATCCATCTTTAATGTGGTCTTTCTCTTTTCCTACTGCCTTCCACTTTTCCCAGCATTATTGTCTTTTCCAGTGAGTCATATTTTCTGATGATATGTCCAAAGTATCATAGCCTTGGTTTAGTCAGCAGACCTTTTAAGGGTGTAGGTTTCATTTGCTCTCAGACCAATTCACTGTCCAGCTTTCACAACTATATGTACCATAAAATTGGAAATACTGTGACATGGATATTTCTGACTGTTGTTCAATGATATATCTTTGCACTAGAGTATCATTTCTAGATTCTTCATAGATGTCTTTCCAAGGCCTAGTCTTCCTCTGATTTCTTGACTACAGACTCTATTGTGACCTATGACTGAGCTAAGGTATAGAAAATCTTTAACTATTTCAATGTTTTCATCATCTGCTTTTAGGTTATGTGAATCATATGTG